CGTTTTTGGCAGTTTCCGAGCAGAGCCAACGACGAGAGCCACAGATTGAACCGGACCTTTGTGAGTATACATAAAGTAGGGAGTGTTTTAAAACCTGGTTCCCGTTGTCGTTTGGTTGCAGTATCTGACTCGGAGACCGCGACTTTAGTTACTACCGTACAACTCGGCAGCTTGCGAGTTTTGAGCTGAATATATTTGAAGCGTCTCCGATCCCCCATTGCAGCTGGGAGATGAAGTGTGGCAGCACGAGCCACGTCACTCCAAATATCGCAACCCGAAATTTCAGCGCGTTAGGACGGTGTTCCTCAAGTCACAACGACGTCGCTTACCGGCCTCGGCAGGTAAGGAGCCGTAAGCTTTAAGTGGTTCCTTTTGGTCGTCAAGTGTCTTCTCACCCTGACTGAATATTTTTACCGAATCTAGAGGCGAGGCTTATGTGTCATGACGTGGAAGTGTAACGGGAGTGAATTCAGATAAGACGACAAAGAGGTGCAAGGAACAGGGAAACAAGACGAACACAAGCAAGAAAAAGGAGCGTTACGGACGATGGTCTCAGAACGCTTGATGTTGCAGCAAAGCTCCGAACATAACAGTATGTTAACGAAGCTAACGTACCGTTTAGCCGCACCCTTGTGACAAATATACGTCGTCATCACTTGCGAAATCGATGCTTCCAAATGTTAAACAAAGGTTCGCTTGATTGGGCACCCTCTGTAAGATGCAAACAAAGGGGCTGTCGACTTGCTGATCGTTTAAAGAACACTAACTGTGCCAAGTTAAACGATCTTTGAGTTACGCTAATTATATCCTAGTTTAAATTTCTGAGTAGTTGTTTAGATTACGGATGCCGCGAACTTTTTTCGAACCGAAGGTTCGATGATCGGATCAAGCGTTTCTAAAGGTTTGAGAGATTTGGAATTTTCGAACTTTCCATATGGAGAAATTCAACGGAAGTCCAATATTCGAACTTGTTAAACTAAGAAGTTCGACGCTTTTCGAAATTTCGAAGTTCGCACGTTCAGAAATCCAATGTCTTTCGAACCTTCGACCTTCTTACACTAAAACGTTCGATCCTTTTCGAACTTTGGAACTTATTACGCTGCAAAATTAGATGCTTGTCGAACTTTCGAACTTGACATACTATAAAATTCGATGATTTTCGACTTTTCGAGGTCCTTGCACTAAAAAAGGTCGAAGCTTTTCGAACTTTCGACCTTCCTACGCTATGAAATTCGAAAATCTTCGAACTTTCGAACTTATTTATCTAAAGAGTTCGGAAAGTTTCGAACTTTAAAATCTTGAGAAGTCAAAAGTTCGACGAACTTCGAACTTTTAGAGTAAAAGTTCAACGTTCGTCGAATTCGGAAGTCCGGCGGGGGGTATCATTTGGATTCAAGCAGCAAAGTACATCTGTAACTTTTTTTTTTCCAATTTTTACATGCGGTACCCCATTGCTTGCGAAAGACAATGCCGTTTATTTCAATGTTCTGGCATGCTTAGGTTTAAAAAAATTAATTCCCGAAGGAGCGAGGAAGGACGACGGGTTTTTGACAATTGTCGTTTGTGCCATATTTGAAGCGCGCTATGCCGAAGCTATTTGTGGTAGAGATGTTAATCTCTTTAAGATTGTTCTGTGTATAGCCTAGGCAAGCGTCGTTTTAAGATGTGATTATTGTTATTCAAGATGCGTTTCGGAGAAATGTACGAACATGTATCTACGGGGAATTCTGCCCTAAACTTGGTAATTTTTTTCGTCTAAATTGTTTGAGGTATCACATTTAAATTAACACCACAGACAGTACATATCATTGCCATCTCCAGAATACAAAAGAATGTGTGTATTGTTTTTGTGACGCCGAGGAATAAGTTATCTCATGGGCGAAGACACGTCTTTAAAAAAACAAAAAAAAACATTTGTTGTTTTATTTTACGTTTTTGGGACGTGTTTCTTTCAGCCCGTACACGTTTTTGGTAGGAAAAACTTGTTTCAGAGTTCTGGGCCTCTGAATATGTAAGAATGCAACACTTCCGGCGTGTTCATGATGCCTTTTTTTTCTTCCAGCTTTTCATCCCTGCTTTTTATGCTCTGTTTAATTTGTTTTTCACCAATGGCACAGTTATTTAGGTTGAAAAGACATAGCTTTGATCTTCCGAACCGCTAAGCACGTGACGAGTAGTGCCTTCTGACAACGACTCTCTAACAACGACTATCTACGCGATCTTTTATGCAGTGAAGAGCAACAGTAACCATACATATGCTTAAATAATTTTAGATTAAAATAAGTTCGACCACGCCCTTTTTCTCCGTATTGTATTCTTTAACAGTACGAAATATCTGGGGGGGGGGGGGAGGAGACTGGAGCCCCGCCCTCTCCCCTTCCCCCATCGTTTTTCCTCTTCAGACGCCACTGGTATGGTAGAACGCTCATCGAACTCGAGTTCTGTCGTTTTCCGTGCTTTTTTCCTCGGCGTTTCTTCCGTCCTGGAAAATAAACCTCCAGAACAGTTACAAACTAAAACAATGTCAAGGTGCAGGCGAGCTGGTGTATGTTGATCATGATGCAAAATCCTGAGACCGAGAATGAAATTTGAAAGAACAAGTGTAAAAAGACAGAAAAAAGGGGACAGGACAACTTCTTAAACTCAGCTCAGTTGAGTTTGAGACGTTGTACTGAGCTGAGTTTTCAGCTGAGTTGAGTTTGAGGCGTTGTCCTGTCCCCTTTTTTCGGTCTTCTTACACTTTTTCTTTCAAATTTCATTCTCAGTCTCAGGATTTTGCATCATGTACAAACTAAACTTACTACACTCTAAAAAAAGTTTGTGCGTCTACTTTCATGCACAACACCCGGAGAGCCAATCACTGCAACTTACAGAGGCAGCTCAGCGAACGACAATGCCGAAACATATGTTTAGAACAAAAAACGGAGTCTGAGTTGTGACATTAAGCAATGCAAAACGTCACGCTTGCATTGCTTATTGTCACAACTCAGACTGCGTGTTTTGGTCTAAAGATATGTTTCGGCATTGTCATTCGCTGAGATGCCTCCGTAAGTTGCGGTGATTGGCTCTGCGAGTGTTGTGCGGGAAAGCAGACGCATGAGATTTTTTAAGAGTGTATGTGCCAGCGTCACTCGGTCAGCGTTCGATCGGATTACTACCAGCGTGCAAGAGAGTAGGGAGGCAGTTTGCCAGATAGATTCAATGTTTTTCTGAGCCTCAACCACCTGCCTGCACCTGGCCTTTTCGAACTGGATGAGTATCCTTAAACAGTGCGTTCGTGTGATCACTATACGGCGCAATGCACGTTAAATGCCTCCTGTCGTCTTCAGTGTAGGAGGGATAAAAAAGTGCTTAGCTGAGCTTGATATTAAAAAGGCTGTAGGTCCCGACGGTTTGTCACCGAGAGTTTTAAAATTATGCTCATTTACTTTGTCTCGCTACTTAGAGATTATTTTTTGTCAATCGCTAGAACAAAGTGTACTCCCAGGTCATGGAAGATGACGTGTGTTACGCCAATCCATAAGCACGGATCAAAACACAATGTAGAGAATTATCGCCCCATATCACTGAGCTGCATATGTTGCAAGATTTTAGAGCATATTGTCTATAGTAATGTTGTGAGGCATTTTAATACAAATAGATATTTCTCTTCTAGTCAACATGGTTTCAGAAAGGGCCTCTCATGCGCCACACAACTCGTAGAACTTTTTCATGACTTGGTTTCAACTGCTGAGGAGGGAGGAGAAACGCACGCCATTTTTCTTGATTTACGCAAGGCTTTCGATAAAGTGTCTCACCTTTTTCTGCTACACAAACTGAGCTCCCTTAGCCTAAATGAGAACATATACCGTTGGTTTGAAAATTACCTTTCTGGGAGAAAGCAGTGTGTCGTCATAAACGGTGCCAGCTCAGATTTTGTTGATGTGACTTCTGGCATGCCGCAGGGTTCAGTGCTGGGACCCCTTTTATTTCTTCTATTTATTAATGATATATCATCGACCATTAACTCGCCCACAAGGCTGTTTGCGGACGATTGTGTTTTGTACAGTAGGGTAGACAGTGTTGGTGATTCAGCTTTTTTGCAGTCGGACCTAGTTAAAATATCGGATGGGTGCAGGATTTGGGAGTTGGGCTTAAATGTGGAAAAGTGTGTGCAAGTCACTTTTGGGAGGAAACGTAACCCTGTCCCATCAAGCTATTTTATTGATGATCATAGATTAAGTAATAACACTGATGTTAAATATTTGGGGATTACTTTGTCAAGCACCCTTTCTTCTAATGTTCATGTCACTGAAACTGCTAAGAAAGCCAGCCGCACTTTAAATTTTCTTATTCGAAATTTAAGCGGTGCTCCACAGAAATTAAAAGAGACTGCCTATTGCTGTTTGGTGAGACCTACACTGGAATACTTATGTGTTTTGTGGGATCCGCATCAAAAGTACCTAGCAGATAAGTTAGAAAAACCTCAAAATCGTGCGGCGAGATTCGTAACAGGAAATTATAGTCGGAACAGTAGCGTAACAGAGACTAAAAATGTACTTGGTTGGAAAACTTTATTGTCAAGGTGCAAAGAATTTCGATTAAGGTGCTTGCTTGCAATTTTTAATGATATGACTTGTATTGATAAAAGCAGCTAAATAAAATTACCTAACTACATTTCAAATCACGTAAATCATACCAGAAAAATAAAGGAAATTTCATGTGGCATCGTCAAGATGACGCTTCTAAACCACTTCGTGTTCATTGCACAGATGCTGCTTCTGCCGCTGCACCGGGATATGGGCGTCTCCGAGCACTATCAAGCGGCTGATCATCGCGGCGGCTTCGCCGTTCCAACCGATAACGCGGAGCGAAGTGTGACGGATCTGGACAACTTTTTCCTGTGGAACTTCAACGGACATTTGGATTTTCCACGGCCCATATTGACAGTGACAGCAGCTATTCTAGCGCCGCTCGGCACTATAAAAGACTGGCTGGAACCTGCACTTCTTCGTGGGCACGGTGGCATCGTCAAGATGACGCTTCTAAACCACTTCGTGTTCATTGCACAGGCAGGGAAACAATATCCTTGTTGCCTCCGCAGTAACAATATTTGTCTCTTCCTGCTACCGTGCCCACGGAGCTGTTTGAGTGTGCTGTGTGAATTTGGAATGTTGCCGAAAAACCTACTTTTGTTTTGTGGTGATGTAGAAGTAAATCCCGGGCCTACTCTAGAAACAATATTGCAAAAACTAGATATCATCTCCGCTGACGTCAGGGAAGTCAAATTGAGCCAAGCGGAAACAAAACCCAGACTAGAGACCATAGAGTTGCAAATTAAAAGCCTTGAAGGTCTGAGGTCAGCTGTGAACCAAAACCAAGACAGGACAAAACAACTCGAATCTACTGTTGCATCACTCGTGTATAAGATTGATGACTTGGAAAATCGCAGTAGAAGAAATAATCTAATTATTTTCGGTCTTTCTGAGCTGCCAAACAAAGACAGCAGAAAACTCGAAGAGCGAGTAACAAAGGAGGTCCTTGAGGACAAACTGTCCGTAAAAACCAATGGAATTGAACACATACATCGGCTGGGAAAACCGACTGAAGGTAAAACTCGTCCAGTGATTCTCAAACTACTTGACTTCAGAGACAAGATGAAAATTCTACGTAACTGTAATAGGTTAAAGAATGAGCCATTAACAATCAGCGAGGACTACTCGAAACGAGTTCAGGGAATCAGAAAAAAACTGCTCGAAAGCTCGAAATCGAATAAGCTTGCCGGTGAAAAGGTCACTTTGATGTACGACAAAGTTAAAATAAACGGAAAAGTGTATACTTGGGACGACGTCAAAAACGACAAGAGTTTGATAGCTGATGTTGCACAGGCTTCAAGTCCATGACTAAAGCCTAGCCGTATCAATAATGATTACGAATTTCGCCTACTCAACTTAAACGCGAGGAGTATCGTGAATAAAACTGATAAACTTGAAACAGCTATTCTGAATACCGAACCTGATATTGTTGTAATCACCGAAACGTGGCTGTCAGACAGAATACAAGATAGCGAAATCACGCCTCCCAACTACACAATCTTGCGCAAAGATAGGGGATCACGTGGCGGCGGAGTTGCGATTCTTGCTCGAAACGGGATTTTATGTACATTGCTGCCCGATTCCCAGGGAATTGAGTGCTTATGGTGTAAAATCAGCTATGAGAACAGTTGCTGCTTCATTGCTGTGGCCTACAGGCCCCCAAACACAGCCCCAGAGTTCTTTTGTAATATGTATGATTATATGCGTAAGAATCTTAACATGAGCAGTAAGATCATAATAGCAGGTGACTTTAATTTACCTCTAGTTGATTGGTCCTTTTCTAAACCCCAGAAATTATCCCATGGTGTTGATATTCTTTCAGAACTATGTTTTCATTATAACCTAACTCAAATTGTTACCGAAAACACTCGTATTCAAGGCTCGACACAAACAGTGCTTGATTTGGTTTTTGTTAGTGATCATTTTCTGAGCCACGAGTACAATATCGACGTCTTAGATGGTATATCTGACCACGAAATGGTTTTGTGCTCTTTTAAAATGAACTCTGTAGTTTCTGCTGCGCCGCAAGTTTCTACAGTACTGGACTATAGCAATGCAGACGATGTTGGCGTACTCTATTACTTTGATATGCATTTTGATACCTTCCAATTGCTCTTCTCCAACGCTCTTACCACTACCGATACCCTTTGGAACGAATTTAAAGTAGCCATTCAGTTCTGCATTTCAGGCTTTATCCCAACTAAGACGAAAAGAATTGACAGAAAAAACCCTTGGATAACGCGGGAAATTATTCACGTGAAACGTAAAATAAACAGGCTGCGCAAATGTGCAGAGAAAACTAAAACACCTCTTAATAAAGATAAGTTCGCACAGCTGAATACAGAACTTGGCCTCAAAGTTAGATCAGCTAAGCATTCATTTTTCAATGTGACACTTCAGTCGTTTATTAAGTCGTCACCTCGTAAATTCTCGAGTCACGTTAACCCTAAAACTAAGTCACACCTAGAATCACTGTCAAATGATAAAACCAATCTAGCGAAGATGTTCAACGAGTACTTTCTTTCTGTATTTACTATGGATAATGATAATATACCTTCTTTTGTCTCTTGTTCAGCTCTGCCCACATTGGACGATGTAGTAGTTACCGAACAAGGTGTCTTGCAGCTCTTACTTAACCTCAATAGTAAAAAGAGTGCTGGCCCTGACAATCTACCCAATGAATTTTTAAAAAGGTACGCGGAATGGATAGCAAAGTATCTTGTACTCATCTTTAGACACTCCCTCAACACAGGGGAAATTCCTGAGGACTGGAAATTGGCTAAAGTAATCCCCATATATAAATCTGAAACAAAAAGGAGTTTACTAATTACAGGCCTACATCTCTCACTTCAACTTGCTCCAAACTACTCGAGCACATTATACTAAAACACATTTCAACCTTCGTCGAGAACAATAATATAATAACCCCATTCCAGCACGGCTTCAGGCGTCAGTTATCGACTGTTACTCAGCTGACCGAAAGCATTCATGACTTTTCTACTGTAATTAACAACAGGGGTCAGGTTGACGTTATATTCATAGATCTATCGAAAGCACTCTACAGAGTATCCCACACAAAACTACTATTCAAGCTAGAAACTATTCTGGGAGCAGGCAAAATACTTAATTGGATAAGAAGCTACCTTTCTGTTCGCTATCAGTTTGTGACAATTCACGCTCATTCATCGTCAAAGGGAAAAGTTTCATCTGGTGTTCCACAGGGATCGGTACTGGCACCTTTCCTGTTTCTTATTTACATAAATGACATAGTTCAAAACGTTAATGTAAAAATCCGTCTTTTTGCTGACGATTGTATACTGTACTCACAAATCAACAATGAACAGGATCAAATCAACCCTAACAATGCTCTTCAACATATTGTAAAATGGTGTCATGACTGGCAGATGTTGTTAAATTTAGATAAAACTGTATCTATGACCATAACTAACAAAAAGCAACCTAAATCGTTTTCCTACCACATCAACAATAAACCCCTGGAGAAAGTCACACAGTACAAGTACCTCGGCCTACATATAAGCCATGACCTCCGTTGGGACTTACACATAGACTCTGTAACTCAAAAAGCGCTAAACAAACTTAATTTTCTAAAAAGAACCTTAAAAAGTGGATCGACTGAGACGAAATTATTAGCCTACAAGACGCTAGTCCGCCCTATGCTTGAGTACGCCAACGTCGTCTGGTTCCCATACACGGCCTCTGGTGTTAGTAAGTTAGAAAGACTACAAAGAATGGCTGCAAGGTTTATATCTAACAAATATAGTTGGCATGATTCCCCCTCCGAGTTATGTAAGCAATTGGAACTGTTGTCACTAGAAAAAAGGGCGAAAATTGCAAGGCTTAAATTTTTATATGAATTAGCTAACAGCAACTTCAACATCTCCACGGAAAATTATCTAACTCCTACTAGTAAATGGCTAACAAGAAACAAGATATAACCATGGTAAGCTTTACGAAGAACTTCCAACCCACAATAATTGCTTCAAATATTCCTTCTTCCCCCGCGCTATCAACGAATGGAATCACTTGCCGCGGAACATTGTACATTCCACTAGTGCAGAGCAGTTTCTTTGGAACTTGGAAGCGCACCTGTCGACATAGGCTTGCATACCATTATCTTCAAATGTGTATTAAAAGATACTAATTTCAGTATGATGTACCACCCTACAACAATCCCGAATGGGATTAGTAGTATTGGAAATAAATAAAATAAGAAGTTTTCATTTTTTCCACGCACAATCGCTCAGTGGAACCTGTTACCAGAGTCTTTTTTTTATTCGTGACGACGTGGGACCATTTATCTCAGGAAATGGTATTGATTTTTTAATGTTGTTTATGTTCAATGTTTATGTATTTTTTTTATTGACAGCCCAGGTTGTATATTCAAGTGTTCTGTTTTTTTTTTTAAATTTTATTGAGTGTATTAATCCATGGGTTGTACCTGCTATAATGCCAAAGTTTTTCGGCGCTGCAGGCTTTTTTTTTTCTGTAAATAAAGACCCGCCCCCCTGGGCTGGTGCTCACAATTGCTAACCTATGGTGACACGTCGCTCTGCACTGGCAAATATTCCAGCACATCCGGGACACTCGTCGTCTCATTTATTTACCTGACCAATTTCGCGCGCACTACATATTACACCCGGACTTTTTTAAACTATTTCGTAAAACCAGTGAGGCGTGAAAACGTTATTTGAAACTGAAACAGTGGAGTAACATGTAAACCGGACTTCGAACTTTGCGCACTTAAACTTGACAGAATTTTAAAACCTTCGAGTTTTTTTTTCTTTCTCTTTTCATATATAGCCCTAGAAGAGAATCGAAACCTTCAAACTTTTCGATCTTTATGTAGAAAGAAATTGGAAATCTTCAAATTTTTCGACCTTTATATCTATGAAAATTCCAAACATCCAAATTTTTGAGTTTCAGATCCAAAGAAATTCAATATCTTCGAATCTTTCGAACTTCAAATTGAAAAAATCGAAATCTTCGATTTTTTGAACTTTCGATCCCAAGAAATTCAAAGCTTTCGAATATCTCGATTTCAAGTTAGGAAAGCTTGAAATCTTCGGATTTCTCGAACCTCAAGTAAAAAGATATTCGAAATAATAGAACCCGAACTTTTAGAAACCATGAAAGCTTCGAACTTTTCGAAATCGAAGCTCCACGGTGTTTTAAAGTTGAGAACTTTTCGATTCGAACCTCAGTACCATCGAAAATATCGAAATCTTTCGATTTGAAACCTCAGTTCGGTTCAAAAATATCGAAACCTTTCGAGTTCGAACCTAGGGTGGTTCGCGGCATCCCTAGTTTACATTGCTACGTGATCGATCCTTGCCCAAATCAGCGCCAACGTACCACGCGACGACTGCCAAAGTTCGGTAACGCCGGCTTTCCTCCCACTTGCAAGCCACAGTTGCGGTGCTAATTCGATTTGTCGCGCCGCCACCCGAAGGGACAATAATTCACGAGTTCCGGGCTCTAATAGAATGTGATGGTAGACATGCTGGGTCGTAATTAGAAGCTGCTTTGCGAATGGTGTTTTGCCGCATTGCGTGAAATTAGCGGCGATCCTTCTTAGCCCCGGGCCTTTCGCAGAATTACTTGCCCATGGTCTGCCGACCTTTAGGCATTGTCCATGCGACAACGGTTTCGGTAGCGGGCACAGTCTAGAACTCAACACTCTTGTTCGCAGTCCCCCCCAATTCTCAAGTAGAGAGTCTAGATTTTAGAGATGGAGCAGCTCAAACGATGCAGAGCAGCGACGGAGAACTCTTGCGCAGATTGGTTGCTCACGCTGATGCGTGAGCAAGCGCGTGGTGAAGGGGAAAGCTAGCGGAGAGCGTGAGTTACACAGATTGCAGGCGCTTGCGGTTGATCGACGCTCTTGTTTCCTGCGAACAGCTTGAAATGCAAACGCGTCCCATAAACCACGTGACCATGATATAGAGCCGTTGGAAGCACTCTTTATAATCTAGGCACCCTACTCGCACGCAACAGCTGCTGCGCTGCAGTGCGCTTGCGGCCGTCCTGGGTATTACTGGCTGCTTTGCTTCGTCGTCAAGCGATAATAAATCAAAGCCAAACTGTCCGGAAAAAAACAAACAAATTATGCGTCTTGGGTTGAATTACTCTCTAGGAAATGTGGAACGTCTACATTCCCGTAGTACACTTGGGAGATTCAATCGCCGCTTTCTACGGAGGGAACGCGTTGAATGACGGCGCTGGAAATATGGTAAGACCCGAAGAAATAGCATTTGGCTCTCCCAACTGCTTTGCGAAAAAAAAGAAAC